AGCAAACAGAAGAGGCCTGGAATGAGGAATGAAGAGTGTGCCTCAGATTTTCTCCAAGTGTGCATTAGAAGCACCTCCCATGGAATATCTGGGAGTGGAGCTGGAATTTCATTTTTTAACAGGGTCTCCATGTGATTCTTATGCCCACAAAGGAAGAAGAACCCACTGGTGTAGGGAACTTGGCCTCTCCTTGTCAGACCCTACCAGGATTCCTGTATGCAGCGCCTGTATTTGGTGACGCATGTTTATAAATGGACATTTATTGAATAAAGTAGCAAGTATGTTCGGATCTTTTAAAATCCTCATAATCATCCCCTGTGAAGTAGATATTATCCCCATTTTAGGGGTGGGGAAACTAAGGCTAAGAAGAATAACCTCCCAGAGGTTGGTAACTTGAAGAGAGCCAGAGCCCAGGTCCCTGATACACACCCTGCTGCCTCATCTGAGGAGTCCCGAATTCCCTTTGGGGCAGCACATAGGCAGGGAGTGGGGCAAGGGTGATGGGCTGAATTTTGAGTTCAAACCCATTTGTTAAGTTCTCCCTCACCATGGCCAGATGATGAACTTTAACTTCTAGCAAGCAGGTGAGTAAGATGATTGGGAGAATGCCTTCACCTTTCCTTCCTCAGCCTCCTCATCTGCACCAAGTGAGCACCAAGGCCCTTCCAATGCCAGCAGTCCTTGCAAGGCCGACTCAGCCCTGCAGGCAGACACACACAGGGTTGCTGCGCATAGAATCTCCAGACACTTTACAAACTCATAATCAGTGAGCTATGACTAACTGGGCAAACATTGTAGGGATTTCTTAATAAGGAATTTAAAAACTAGACTCCAAATGGGAAAGATGCATGTAACAAGTTATTGGTGTTTATGTAACACTGAATAGCTTTGATTTCCTTCAGTAGGAACTGACAGCCAGCTGACAGAAAACTCATCCAGGGAGAGAAGACACAAAAGCGAAGTATGAAATTTTGAATAATGTTTTCAGGTAATTTCTATTTCCATTTAGAGTGGGTGTCTGGAAGGGTGAATGCAGTTATGGTTTGAATTGCTTTCATGCATCGACAGATATTTTTAATAGGGCTCATCTCTCTAAGATGCAATGCTTCTTACTTCCTTTTCCTGGCTTCTAGTCCCTTTGTAGCCATGCAGGGAGCTGGGGACTTCACCGTTTGACCTGCACATGCTCAATGAATCCCCCTGCTTTCAGCAAGCTGCCTCTAAGTTTGGAGCTTTTCTGATCAACTTAGAAAGTAAATCTTTGTTTTCTTGCCTAGGAAAGTGGTTGTCTGCTACGGGATCAGATAAAACACAGGGGGGTCCAGTTGTTCTGTCCACAGACTTTTTCAACCATCCTCTTGTTTTAAGCCCTGTTACTCATTGCCATTTGTTCTGACACTTGGGACCTCTAAGTCCTAAATGTCACAGGTCCTGTGGGTAAGCAGCTCCCTTCGCCTCAGGGCCGCCTCCCTGGGTCTGTGTCCTGCAGCCCCCTCTGCTATGCTAAGGCCATTTGCCACTCCACCAAGCCCCCATTTCCAGAGCTTGTTTGAAATTGCTCATCTAATGATATTTCTCCTCCAATTTTCTTTGTTCTTAAAAATATACATATTTGGCTGTGCGAAGTGGCTCACACCTGTAATTTCTGCACTTCGGGAGGCTGAGGTGGGTAGATCACGAGGTCAACGGATGGAGATCATCCTGGCTAACATGATGAAACTCCGTCTCTACTAAAAATACAAAAAATCAGCTGGGCATGGTGGTGTGTGCCTGTATGACTCGGGAGGCTGAAGCAGGAGAATCGCTTGAACCTGGGAGGTGGAGGTTGTTGCAGTGAGCTGAGATTGCACCACTGCACTCCAGCCTGGTCACAAACTGAGACTCTGTCTCAAAAAAAAGTATTTAACTCAGGTGGCTGAGTCAGGAGAATCACTTGAACCCAGGTGGCAGAGGCTGCAGTGAGCCAAGATTATGCCACTGCACTCCAGCCTGGGAGACAGAGCCAGATTCTGTCTCAAAAAGAAATACATATATATTTTTAAAATCTTTTTAAAAAATAACTCAATGATTATAATTTGGGTGGCATTTTGGGCATAGAGAGAGGAACTAAAGGAGCATCATAAATATGCCATGATGAGTTGCAAGTGATATTAAAGATATTGTAATTTTTAAATGAAAAGCAGCTTATCCAGCCTTTTAATAATGAGTACCTTGTAATAATGTTGAGATGATAGTGTTTGGAAATTCTAAGGAAAATACATTTAAAGGATATGTTCTTTCCATGTTTCACTTATTAGATTCCACTGATATTTACAAAATGAGATGAAGCATTGCATCCTAGAAATATGAGAACCTTAAAAAAAATTTCCAACATTTCATCTGTTATTTTAAATAGGCTATGGATTGGAGACATGATAAACATTTTAAAAAGCTAATTATGAGATAAACATTTTAAGAAGAGGAATGCAGTGACTGTGAAGATACAACAGGAAAGTCTTTTTTTCTAGACATTGTCTGATTTCATTACCACATCCCCGTGGAGTGAAAGTTCTATGATTGTCATTTCACGCATGAGGAGCTGAAGACTCCTAGAGGCTGAGAGACTTGATCAGGGCACACAGCCAATGAGTAGGAGAGTCACGACTGACACCTGTCTGATGCCTGAACTTTCAGCAGTTGAACTGTTATCTATATGGAAGGTGCAACTGAGTTTGGGGATTGCTTATAGTCTAGGCATAACAAAGAGATCGATTGGAGGTTAATATGCTATCAACACTCAGGATCCAGTCAGGATGCTTCAGGGAGGAAAGAACATTCTAGGCAAGACAAGTGGTCTTCATCAAAAGTAGAGTTCAACTCTATGAAAAAGAAATAAGTCAGACGTAAATATCAGTGTTTTTGATGTACAACTGGAGAAAGCAACATAAAAGAACCCTGCAAAAGGATGAAGGCCTAAAGAGAAGGGGATTCTTCCACTCAGGTACTGATTACAGAAAGAACCAGAACATGGCTTACACATTTGGAGAATAAAGCATCTGACACCTTTTTCTTGACAAGTATGTTTAGACAATGTCAAAATTGCTCTACTAAACATTAAAAAGTGAGCAAACAAAGTGGCTTTAAAAGTCTTTATAATGAGGAAAGAGTCAACCTCATGGGGTTGGTGTTGCTAGACACTCCCCAGTCCTCAGGGGAGAGGGTCTGCCTCTGTCCACATTGTGGGCGGATTAGGCAGCGAGTTGGTGCCACTGCTCAACTTCTCTGGGACCCTGGAGCCCACAGCACCCTCTTTTTCCACAAGACTGTGATGGGGTCACTGTCCTCTTTAGGCATGGCAGTCACCAGCATAGTGCCAGCTCCTCTTCTTCTCCCAGAGCCTCCTGACACCAACCTTGTGAAAAATCTGTGAGAGCAAGCGCTCAGGTTTAGTGTAGTGGAGAAAGGCCTTTACTTGAGGGTGACGGAAAAATAGAAAGTCTTGGCTGGGCATGGTGGTTCACGCCTATAACTCCAACACTTTGGGAGGCTGAGGCAGGAGGATCATTTGAGGCTGGGAGTTCAAGACCAGCCTGGACAATATAGCAAGACTCTGTGCCAAAAAATAAATAAACATTTTTTTAAAAATTGTAAGTAAAATTTCTTCCCCCAAAGATTCTGCTAAGATTTTAAAAAATAAAAACAAGATTGACCTAAATACTAGAAACTATACGAGAGTATAATATTGAAATCTAGTATCTGGCAACTTGTTCTCATTTGAATATCTATTTATCAGATGCTACTTTTGGTCAAAGAATTTTTTTTAATGACTGATACCGTATAGCTCTTTGAAATGCAGTTACTAAGTAGCTTCTATATTTGATATTATATACCGGCTCATTTCTCTGAATTTCTATGCTCTGTTAGACCCATTTATACATAAAAATGTTTTTAAACTGATTCTTTGTGATCACTGTCTCACGTGAGCTCTTTTCAGATGCTTTGCATTCAGAATAGACCTCTGAGTTGGGACCAAGCTGTCAACTGATCCCAAATTCCTAAGTTCCTGACTTGCAGGTACGTCTGGCTCCAAGATAGCTTTTACAGAGTATGTCACAGGGAACATAAAATCAGAGCATTCACTTTCATTGCATTTACGTGCGTATATATTGAGTAGTTCTCTGCTTTGCATCATGAATGGTACTGAAGTGGAGATGAACACTATGTCCTTTTGAATACTGCCTTTCAGGAGCTTAGTCAGTTGAAATTCCAGTTGAAAGTCAAGGCACAAATGCCATCGATAATATCATGAGAACTGAATTACTCTTGTAAAAAGTAAGACCTAATAGGACTCTTTGGAATTTTTAATAATGAAATATGTCTTACATATATGCTATGCTCTTTTCTGCACACACGTTCTATTTTACAATAAGTAAATAAGAGTGATATACAGAGGAGTATGTGAAATGTGTACTGTTTCAAGAAGAAGAATAAAATGGACACTCACCTATGCACCACCCCAACTGGGAAACAGAACATCACCTGAACATTTGGCCGCTCTGTGTCCCTCCCACATGGCACTGTTCTCCTAATATCTACCAAGGAGTAGATATTTGTTCACTATTAATCATTTCCTTTGCTTTTTAAAAAAAATTTTTAGGTTTCCCCTTATACTTGATCCCTAAGTAAAATAATTGTTTATTTTTAAAAAATAGTATCAGGTACAAAATTAGATGAATAAAGAAAGAACAAGATTGCCAGCATATGACAAAAGCTTCCAGGAGAGGATAAGCCAGACAGACCCTGGGTCTTAGTCTGGCTCAGTCTCTCTAAGCCTTTACAAGAGCCCCTCCAGGCAAGGTCACGAGTCCTAGAAGCATGGGGTCGCCCTTACAGTGCTTTTGGCAGAAATACAGAGTAGACCAGGAACTGGATATACAAAGGGACAGACCATTGAGTCTTTCTCCTCCTAAGCCCACCTGGTCTTGTTCCCAGGCAGTCAAAGCAAACACCTGAGTGGAGCTGGAGTGCCATTGGCTGCCTCCGAAAGCAGGACACAGAGGAGAGAGCAGAGGTGTGGCTGAGACCAAGCAAACAGAGAAAAGAACTGAGGGCAGGCTCACCGGGGCATCTGGTCCTCAGTTAACAAGATGGCAAAATGGCAGGGTGGCGTCAGAGGGAATGTCTGGGCCCAAGCATTTTCCTGGCATCTCCCTTCACATTTTCCTGAAAATTCTTCGTGTCTCTCTTCCATGATGATCTCCAGTCTCTGGTATCTTATGTTTTCTTTTTTCTGGTTCTACCATGTCATCTTTGTAGATTCCATCCTCTGGTAAATTCTTCAGAGTATGTTGCAGTTCTTCCTTAATGATTTGCTTAATATAGAATTCTAAGCTCAGAGTCATTTTTCCTTCAGATTTTAAAAGACCTTCCTTCATTGTCTGTGCTAATTCTTGATTCTTAAATAGACTTATCCCCGCCCCTCAAACTCTTAGCCCATCCCTGACCCCAAGATTTCGGAATGTTAGTTGTCTTTGTTCTAGAAATCTGACTATGTGCCATAGTCAGCATCTGTTTTGTTGGTTTGTTTTTAAATTTTCATTGTACTGTGCTCTCCTTTGGGCCATTTCAATTTGGCAACTCATGACCCTCAAGTCTAGAAACTTTTCTTGATCTTACAGATGATTTCTTCTTCTACTTGCCCCTCCTTCCTATCCCCACTTTTTTCTCTTGTTGAAACTTCTATTATTTGGATGTTGGAGTTCCTGGTCTAGTCTTCTATCTTTTTCTTTTCCTTTCTTTTCTTTTTGCTTGATTATGTTAGAGATTTTATCACCGTTATCATCCAACCCTTCTATTGAGTTTTACAGGTTGGTATCATGTTTTTACCTTAAGAGAGCACATTTTTATGGTCTCTGAATATACCTTTTTCGTAGAATCTTATTCATGTTTCATGGTTACAACCGTAAGAGTTAAAGAAAGAGGAAAGAAACATGACATCTGGCTGGCAGTTAAAGACAGGTTTACTATAGATCAAACCTGAGAGGTGCTCCTGGCCCATTTTGGTCAGGAACACTTTCTCGTACAGACTAGGAGTATATGTTAGTTTTAGGGTGAGGGGGCTTATCCAAACCTTGGAACATTTATGTGTGTGGAGAAGTTTTTGGCAGGGTTGGAATCTCTCTGGGAGGAGGGGAGGATATCTTGGGGTAGATGTCTTTCCGACCAGAGTGGGGGTTTATCTTGGGGCTAGCATGTCTCTGGCTGGGGAGGAGTTTGGAATGTTTCTGGGTGGAGATGTTATTTGTGGTTTATGGTCATACTGGCCTTAGCCATTAGGCATGCCTTTGGATTTAGGTGGTTTTTTATGAAGGTGAACTTTAGAATGAGGGGCTTGTCCAAGATGGCAATTCTCCTGCTCTGTCAACATCTTCTTATACTTTTGAGGGTAATGAGTTTTTGAGATTTTCATTTTTCTAATCAACATGTTTCCTCCAAGTTGCTTTTTTCTTTTTTTTTTTGAGACAGAGTCTCACTCTGTGCCCAGGCTAGAGTGCAGTGGTGTGATCTCGGCTCACTACAGCCTCCACCTCCCAGATTCAAGCAATCCTCCTGCCTCAGCCTCCCGAGTAGCTGGGACTACTAGTGTGTGCCACCACACCCTAATAGTTTTTTGTATTTTTAGTAGAGATGGGGTTTCACCATCTTGACCAGGCTGGTCTTGAACTCCTGACTTTGTGATTCACCTGCTTTGGCCTCCCAGAGTGCTGGGATTACAGGCGTGAGCCATGGTGCCCAGCCCCAAGTTGCTTTTTTCAATTTGTTCTAGTCTCTATCTTTAATGTAAGAGGCATTTTGGTTTTTAAATTCTTGTTGTGGCTGCTGACGATTAAAGGGTTGGGATTAAAAGCTCATGAGAAGCCTTAAGCACACAGATTGAGGCTTGTGGGCTGTAAACCTCACTGTTGTTTGACCTGGGTAGCATGTCAGATTCTTGAGAGAAGGCTATAGCAATTTTTCCCTGGGGTGAAGGTATGGCTGCCAGCAAGCCAAGCTGGGGAAGTAGGCTGTGGGATCCTTCAGCAGTGGTCAGTAAGCAATCACTTATTCCCCTGTTTCTTGTTCTCAAAGAACAAGAAGACTGGTGTCTCCCAGTCCAGAGATGCTCTGTTTCATCATTTCCTGAGAATAAACCTCTAGACATCCCGTAGGGCAGGAGGGGCTGTCTTCCATATCCTAGTGACTGGCAACTGGAGGAATGACCTAAGACTGTATTTCTCAAACTTTACTGTGCATACAAATCGCCCGGGGATCTTGTTAAAATGTAGGCTCTGATTCAGTAGCTCTGGGGTGGAGTCCGAGATTCTGCACATCGAATGATTTTTCTGGTGGTGATGCCAGGGTAGGATCACACTTCAGGTAGCAAAAGGATCTAGGAATCTAACTGCTTATCTAACAGCTTTTCACCTGTCCCTCCTTATTTTAGCTGTATTCTTTACACTTGTGCTCACGTGCATGCACACACACACACACACACACGCACACATACACATGCTGAGTCAGTTACTACTGGCTCACTGCTTTCTGGCTTCCAAAATATTGTTGCTGCCATCTTCTCATCCCTCTATCTTTAAGAGTTTATGTCTTTGAAAAAATTCATTGGTTTTAAGGAGTTTCAGGAAGAAGCAAAATTAGATGATGTGTGTTCTGCCATATTAACCCTAACTCTAACCATCTGCTAAAACATGATCCTAACGTTTGCTTGTAACCAAGTAAATGAAGCCTGTTTCCTGATAAATAACTGCTACTTTCGGCCTCTAGGTCTTTGCAAAAACAGCGTTACCTACTTCTCCCTTCCTCCTTTGTCTGCCTGCCAGATTCTTACACAGTTTTTAGGATCCAACTCAATGGCTGGCTTCTGTGAAGCCTGCTTTGGTCCCCAGGATGTTAAAGCTTCTGTGCTCTTCTGACTCTGTAACCAGCTGCGTATACAGTATCTCTTCCAAAAGACTGTGAGCTCCTCAGGCATAGGGCTTGTGTCTTTGTGGCTCAGTGCCCAGCACATATCAGGAGCCTGTAATGTTTAACAATGGAATTTCTGCCTGCATGCTTACTTTTCTCTTTTTTCTTCACTTTTTCTGCTGTCTTCGTCTCTTCTTTGTTTTGGCTGTTGTTAGATTTGTTATCTATTCTATTATCAAATAGAAATCCATTTTCCATAATTTTAATTTTAAAAGTAAATAGAATAAACAATAGTTTTCATTTTCCAAAAACTATTGAATCAGTGAAACAGATTTAAATATTATATATGCATTCATCTGATTCACCCCCCAACTCTAAGGACTGTTAAAAGACAAAAATTTTATTAGCCCTAGATAAAGACATAATTCTTACCACCTAATGGAATTATCTGTTGAAGGAGTCTGAATCCAAAATATTTAAATAAGTTAAACATAAAATTGTTTAGTTTCAATAATAAAAATGAAAATGTTTACAAAGTCTTCATAGCTCCTTTCAGGTTTCTTACCTATAAAACTCCTTTTTCAGAGCAGAGATACTGTTGTCAAAATTTAACCCTAGGCAGGCTGCTGACATTGTCTTCTCCGCACCACTGTTTCTGGGGTCTCCAGAGCCTTCTCTCTCCCGTGCAAAATGGCAACTCTTAAGGAAAAACTCATTGCACCAGTTGCAGAAGAAGAGGCAGCAGTCCCAAACAATAAGATCACTGTAGTGGGTGTCGGACAAGTTGGGATGGCGTGTGCTATCAGCATTCTGGGAAAGTCTCTGGCTGATGAGCTTGCTCTTGTGGATGTTTTGGAAGATAAACTTAAAGGAGAAATGATGGATCTGCAGCATGGGAGCTTATTTCTTCAGACGCCCAAAATTGTGGCAGATAAAGATTATTCCGTGACCGCCAATTCTAAGATTGTAGTGGTAACTGCAGGAGTCCGTCAGCAAGAGGGGGAGAGTCGTCTCAATCTGGTGCAGAGAAATGTTAATGTCTTCAAATTCATTATTCCTCAGATCGTCAAGTACAGTCCTGATTGCATCATAATTGTGGTTTCCAACCCAGTGGACATTCTTACATATGTTACCTGGAAACTAAGTGGATTACCCAAACACCGTGTGATTGGAAGTGGATGTAATCTGGATTCTGCGAGATTTCGCTACCTTATGGCTGAAAAACTTGGCATTCATCCCAGCAGCTGTCATGGATGGATTTTGGGGGAACATGGCGACTCAAGTGTGGCTGTGTGGAGTGGTGTGAATGTGGCAGGTGTTTCTCTTCAGGAATTGAATCCAGAAATGGGAACTGACAATGATAGTGAAAATTGGAAGGAAGTGCATAAGATGGTGGTTGAAAGTGCCTATGAAGTCATCAAGCTAAAAGGATATACCAACTGGGCTATTGGATTAAGTGTGGCTGATCTTATTGAATCCATGTTGAAAAATCTATCCAGGATTCATCCCGTGTCAACAATGGTAAAGGGGATGTATGGCATCGAGAATGAAGTCTTCCTGAGCCTTCCGTGTATCCTCAATGCCCGGGGATTAACCAGCGTTATCAACCAGAAGCTCAAGGATGATGAGGTTGCTCAGCTCAAGAAAAGTGCAGATACCCTGTGGGACATCCAGAAGGACCTAAAAGACCTGTGACTGCTGAGCCCTAGGCTGTAGAAGTTTAAAAACTACAATGTGATTAACTCTGAGCCTTTAGTTTTCATCCATGTACATGAATCTTAGTTTGCTCTGACCTTTAATATGTGAATTTGAGCTCATAGAATCAAAGCCTATGTTTGGTTTAATGCTTGCAATGAGTTCTAGAACAAATAAAATTAACTATTGCAGTGTTAAAAAAAAAAAAAAAAAAAAAAAAAAAAAATTTAACCCTATAGTTCTTTCTAACCCATTATCAGGTCAATATATAATTTAAATAATAGAATCAAGAAAATTACAATCACATGCTCGCCATTCCAGTCTCAGTGTGAATTTCAAATATTATGTCAGTTATTTTAACACATTGTAGCCCAAACAATATTTCATCCTTCATAAAAATGTCACTCAAATTGCAAATCTAGCTATCACTTGCATTATTTAATTGAAGAGCATGTTTAAGTAATGTAATACTAAAGCTTTTACATTAAGCTACCACAAACAGGTTAGGTTTTAATGGATCCAGTTGCAATGACACAGAATTCTGGCTCTATGGCTTAAATTTACATTTTAATTAATTAATTTTTTTATAGACAAAGTCTCACTCTTTCACCCAGGCTGAGTGCAGGTGGCATGATCATATTTCACTGTAACCTCAAACTCATGGGCTCAAGTGATCCTCCTGCCTCAGTCTCCTGAGTAGCTGGAACTACAGGCCACACCACCATGCCCAACTAATTTTAAAATTTATTTTTGGTAGAGACAGAGTCTCACTACACATTGCCCAGGCTGGTCTCAAATTCCTGGCCTCAAGTAATCCTCCTGCTTCAACTTCCCAAAGTGCTAAGATTACAGATGTGAGCCACAGTACTTGTCTAAATTTTCTTTTTAATATTATTAATTTAAAAAATATTTTCCACAGGTAGAAAATAAGTGGATTATTGTTTAATGTGGGACTTTGGAAAGTGCTATGTTGGTGTTATAAATATCAATGAAGATTTTGAAAATAAATTTTAATTTGTAATTTCGTAAAGGTCATTACAATTTAAAAATTTATTTTATTTTGCAATTCACTATTTAGCATAATCCCATTTATGTCATGTGCATATTTTAGAAATTAATTCTCACAAAATGAATATAAATTGGGATGTGGACTCTGGCTAATCTTTTGGTCTTTACTGTCTTTGATAACCAGGTATTGATTTCTAACTTCTGAAGATGGATGAAGGTATGGAAATTTCAAGTGAAGGAAATTCCTTGATCAAAGCAGTCCATCAGAGCCGGCTTCGCCTCACAAGACTTTTGCTAGAAGGCGGTGCCTACATTAATGAGAGCAATGACCGTGGGGAAACCCCTTTAATGATCGCCTGTAAGACCAAACATGTCGATCACCAGAGTGTCAGTAAAGCCAAAATGGTGAAATACCTGTTAGAGAACAACGCCGATCCCAACATACAGGACAAATCTGGGAAAACGGCTCTGATGCATGCTTGCTTAGAAAAAGCTGGCCCTGAAGTTGTTTCCTTGCTCCTCAAGAGTGGGGCTGACCTCAGCTTGCAAGATCATTCTAGTTACTCAGCTCTTGTTTATGCTATAAATTCAGAAGATACAGAGACAATGAAAGTTCTACTTAGTGCTTGCAAGGCTAAAGGGAAAGAGGTCATCATCATCACAACAGCAAAGTCACCCTGTGGGAAGCATACGACTAAACAGTACTTAAATATGCCTCCTGTGGATATAGATGGGTGTTATTCCCCAGCCACCTGCACCACTCCTTCAGAAATAGACATCAAAACTGCCTCATTGCCACTTTCACATTCTTCTGAAACGGAACTAATGCCTTTTGGCTTTAAAGATCTTGAGCTCACTGGAAGCAATGATGATACCTGGGACCCAGGTTCCCCTGTGAGGAATCCTGCTATGGCCCCTAAGGGGCCCAAGCTCCCCCAGGCTCCACCCTGGATCAAGAGTCCCCCATCATTAATGCACCAGAACAGAGTGGCTTCATTGCAAGAGGAGCTCCAGGATATTACACCAGAGGAAGAATTATCCTATAAAACCAATGGGCTGGCACTTTCCAAGCGGTTCATCACTAGGCACCAAAGCATTGATGTCAAAGACACTGCACATTTGCTAAGAGCCTTTGACCAGGCCAGCTCAAGGAAGATGTCATATGAGGAAATAAATTATCAATCTTATCTTTCAGAAGGAAATCAGCAATGCATTGACATCCCTGTTGACCAGGACCCAGATTCTAACCAGACAATATTTGCTTCCAACTTAAGAAGTATAGTTCAAAAAAGAAACTTGGGGGCAAATCACTACAGCTCTGATTCCCAGCTCTCAGCTGGCCTTACCCCTCCAACTTTAGAAGACGGCAAAGCACTTATAGGAAAGAAAAAGATCCTCTTGCCATCTCCTTCCCAATTGTCAGAGTCCAAAGAATTGGTGGAGAATATCCCCCCAGGCCTCCTGAGCAGGAGAAATCATGCAATTTTAGAAAGGCGAGGTTCAGGAGCTTTCCCTTTGGATCACAGTATTACCCAAACCAGACCAGGGTTTCTCCCACCCTTAAATGTAAATTCTCACCCTCCCATCTCAGATATCAATGTCAACAACAAGATTTGCAGCCTTCTTTCTTGTGGTCAAAAAATGCTTATGCCAACAGTTCCCATTTTCCCTAAAGAATTCAAAAGTAAGAAAATGTTGTTAAGGAGACAATCATTGCAAACTGAACAAATTAAGCAATTGGTAAACTTTTAGGAGATGAGTACAAAACACATTTTCTTCAAATGTTTATATCAGAGAAACAAAGAACCAGAGAAGAAATCTTAAATGTTTATTCTTTTAAATCTCATAATTGGTTAGTCCATAATGGCTAGACAGATTAAAATGTAATTGATTTGTACTAGGCATCATGAACATAAAAAATAATATATAGTTTCTGCTAAGGGAATTCTCTCAAACAAAAGGAAAGCTATTTTTCTCAATGCTTCTAATATTTAACAATCTCCATGTAGTCTAAATTTGTCGTTAAAAAAAATCAGCAAAGAAAGAAGGCTACATATGTTGGGGTAATTTTTTTTAAATTTCAGATTGGCTAAATATTTTATTAGGAAACAGTTTTCAAGTAAATAATTTTTTAACATTTTATGTTAATAAATGAGATTGCAGTTTTTTTTATGATCCTCAAACCATAAAAGAAAACACTGGCAGCCATTAAATGTTCTAAGGTCAATAAACTCAAGCTAGAAAGAAAGAATGAACTAATTCGTTTAAAATGTTAACTGAAGGTAGGTAAAACTCTAATTAAAAATATAAAAGGTTAAACACTGTATTAGAATGGGCAACTAAAATATTCCTGATGTCAGTTTAATCAGTGTCTAACTGGCAAGTGAGTTTTACAACCTACTAATATTCTATGCTGAGTCTTGTTGTTTGTGTACTGTGTTTTGTTTTGCGGAATTATTCTTTCTTCATATCTTTTAATTCCTGTTCTTAGTTTTGAAAGCCTATCCATAGGTTTCCAATGACAAAATGATATAAAAGCTAAAAAGCATTTCTCTTTACTTATATCAAATTATTCTTCTCTTTCGAAAATAATCAAATAAAAAAAGTTCATCATGGATAGAAACTAAGCACTCGCCTTCTTTTAAAAAGAAAAACTGATGATTATATTAGGTTAACTAAGATTAAGAGCAGCAGTAGAAACTTAATCACAAAATGTACTAAATATTTGGGCAATATTAAAAAACACCTTATTTCTGATATGTAGTTATTAGACATTATATAGTAAGGATAAATTTAGTGTGACATTCCAATCATCTAGTATTTTAGGACCTGTGAATAACTTCTAACAAATTAATACCATATTAGTATTATAAAATATTAAGTAATAATTATATCATCGATATAACTTCAAAGTATGATGTTTAAACAAAGAGTCCTTATTTCAATCTAGCAGTTTAACAGCAAAGAATAAATCAGACTGTACAAAACCTAAGTGTATTAATTTGATGATTGTCATATACAACTTTCCTTGCCTTCTGAGTAGAGGTGCTCCTACAATTGGCATGATGCTTTTCTTGGTAATTTGATATAAGCAAGTTGTAATGTACATAGTAATTATTTAATTACTGTGGCTTTTATTTTAAAAAGTAATTAGAGGCTTTTCCATTTCATGTTTTGAACAATATTAATATTAATTACACTAGATATTTTTGATTCAGAACTTAGAATTGTACCTAATATTTATAGGGAGCTAAATGCTTTCTGCAAGTTTAATATTGAGAAAAGTACTTGACAATTTGGAAGGATATGTAAAGAGATTAGTTCATAAAATCGTATCAATAAAGATTTAAAATATCATTTTGGTTACTGATTTTTATTTATCTTTCAAATACTAATGACATTTCAATATAATTTCAAGAGAAATTTTGCTACATGCTATTTTGAATAAATAGAAAACTAAGACAGAATAACTTTTGTTGCTATTATGAAACCAACATGAAAAAGATATTTAACAGCATTAAAAAAATGGTTTTTGGCCAGGCATAGTGGCTCACGCCTATAATCCCAGAATTTTGGGAGGCCGAGGTGGGCGGATCACTTGAGGTCAGGAGTTCCAGAACAGCCTGGGCAACATGGTGAAACCTTGTCTCTACTAAAATTACAAAAAATTAGGTCAGGTGCAGCGGCTCATGCCTGTAATCCCAGCGCTTTGGGAGGCTGAGGCAGGTGGATCATGAGGTCAGGAGTTTGAGACAAGCCTGGCCAACATGGTAAAACCTGTCTCTACTAAAAATACAAAAATTAGCTGGGCATGGTGGAGCACACCTATAATCCCAGGTACTCAGGAGTCTGGGGCAGGAGAATTGCTTGAACCCAGGAGGGGGAGGTTGCAGTGACCCGAAATCACACCATTGGACTCCAGCCTGGGTGACAGAGCGAGACTGTCTAAAAAAAAAAAAAGAAACTTTTTTTTTTGGCCATATTTAGAAGAATTTTAAACCTAACAATCCTAAGAACACTTACTGTGTTTGGGTCTGGTTGTAAAGTCATCGGTGGAATGTTTACTCCATTAAGTAAAATATATCATTGTGATCTCAATGGTGGGTTCTGTAGATGTTTGCAATTAGGCATGTATATATGTACGTATTTTTAAATGCATTTTTGTTATATTTTAACTTCATTT